AGGGTTTAGGGTCAGGAGTTTAGGGTGAAAGGTTTAAGGTCTGAGGTTTAGGGCTTGGGTTCAAGGGTTTTGGGGTTTAGGCTCGGTGAAGGCTTTAAGGGCTCGGGGCTCGAGGGCGAAGGACTTTGTGATGGTTCACGGGGTGAGAAGTGGGTTCCTTTCAAGGCGATGTAGACATTAAAAAATATATATATACATATCTGTATATACACACACGTCTATGTAGGGTTTAGGGTCTAGGGAAATGTCAAGTCTATGGTTCATAGGACTTAGCAACTTCTTATAGTGCCTCCAAGCCTACTTATAAGCCCCTAACGGGCCGTATGTGGGTTACACCAATGATGACCCTAAGTCCAAATCTAAAACCTTCAAAACTTCCGGCCCGAGGACATTTGAGTTTCTCAACCTACGGGTAGCGTAGGGGCCTCAGAAACTATCAAGATTAACTCTGATATTAGGGCAATATGTTCCTCCAGGGATAGACAGAGGAGCAACATGTGGAAACGTCAGCAATGCCAATGACCCAAAACCTTGCGTGGCTTAAGGTTTAAGAGCCTTCTATATAGCTCCTGTTTGATCAGTATATTCTAACTCGATGCATCCAAGGTAAAGTCAACCCTTGATCAAGGAACACAGGCCAACCACTAGCAAAGTGGAAGTCAACAAAAGGGGCGACATGTGTTTCAGCTTGTAGAGCAAGATTTCACTAGGGCTTTGGAGCGGCACGATGAGCGGCAGACGACACGGCAGAAGCCTGGGTAAGGTTTAGGCGGTTATTATAGGCAGAGGTCAGGACAAATCAGACAGTCCAACTTGAACAGAGGGCTTAAAGAGGGCTCCTTATAAGGAACCACCCTAGACCAAAGCTTCACGGAACCCTTATACAGAACCGCTGCGGAAACTGTACGACAGCCTCACGGAACCCCCACGAAGCCCATACAAAGCCCTTACGGAATCCCTAGGAAATCCTCAAGTCTAGGAATCCTTACTTCGCCGCTCCATTTGCAGAATCCCTTCAAAACCTCTAGAGTTGACGTTACCTCGGAGCCTTCAAGTTATTGCCCTTTACCAAGAACAACAGACCCAAAGTAACTACATAGGAACCTCTGGGTAGGGTCTAGAAATCTTGTATTCCCATGCTGGTGAGCAGAGCAAGCGAAAGGAGCTCAAACAGCAGGCTGCGAGGTAGACGCGTTAGTAAACAAGGCGACATCATGAAAAAAGCTGCATCCCTAAGTCGTTAGAAAATCCTGGACAGGTACTGTTGATTTACTTTAAGGTCCAACAGCAGGCATTGTTTGGTTAGATTTTTATATGTGTATATATATATAGATATGAGCTGTAGGATACTTTTGGCTGATGGTATTCTTGCATAACCCTCCATACGCAGAACCCTATAGGGATTATGCTTGTCAATTGTTCTGAAGTTCATACACCCTTTGGGCCATCCACGTTACCGAAACCCTCATTTGAAAAACCCTGATTCCTAATCCCTATGCAACCCCTCTAAGACCCCATAACAGAATATTGCCCTACATATCCCTAAACCCTAAACCATCAACCCTAAACCCTAAACCCTAAACCATCAACCCTAAACCCCTATCCCTCCCTTGCGAACTAATTCCCTGTGGCCAACAGCTGAGCCTCGCGGGCCACCGACTCGAAGTCGAAGCTGTTAAGCATTGCCTGGCAAAGAATTCATGTTAGGATTTAGGGTTTAGGCTTTAGGGTTTAGGGTTTAGGGTTCATATCTGGGGCTTTAGGAGTTTCAGGTAACCCTGGGTATACATGGTTCCTAAGTCGAATGAACCTTGAAACATGTGAGCTGCAGTCTAAACTCCGAGTATCCCCCTTAACTACCCTGCTCGTACTCCCCTGTATAATCCCCTCTCGAACGCCCCTTTAAAGAGTTTCAACCCTAAACCCTAGATAACCCCTATATATAACCCCTTTTAAGGAGTTTAGACTATAGCTCATGTGATCCCACAACGACTGCTAAATCATCCTCAGAGACTCCTGCTGGAATACTTGGGAGTGCTGATGCAGCCCCTGCAGGGACATGGAACTTTGCCAAATTTACAGTTCCCAAATGGGGGAAAATTGGAAGAGGGACCTGTATTGAAATGGGATGGGAGTAGGACCCGTATTCTGTTCATGCGAAACCCAACCCCACATCCCCTAAACCCTGAACCTTACACCCTGAACCCTAGACCTCAACCCAAAAGAATAGCCGGTGTGACCGCAAGAGGAGGCTTCTTGAACTCCTCAACTTCTTCCTCTGCAGCATCCGCCTTGACCTTAGGCTCATGCCAGGCGTAGCCTCATATGACACCCTAAACCCTAATTCCCAAACCCCTAAGTGCCCTAAATCACAATCCGAATTTGGGAGTCCTTTTTGCCCAAAAACTAAGGATTCTGATGACAGACAATTTCAAGAATATGTTGGTAAATTTCTAGAGATGACCCCCCCTTCTTTACCCAAGAACTATCATCCTTACCCGGGGGATCCCCAAGTAGGTACCATCTGTTTTGGGAAACCAACATTTGAGCTATAGTCTAATCTCCGGGTATCCCCCTTAACAACCCCCTTATAATACATCATCCCCTATATAACCCCCTTTAAGGAGTTGAGGCTATGGCGTAATGGGTATAGCTCGTTCAAGATATTGACCAAGTCCCATCTGAAAGGTTGTGGCACTAACAACTCCAGCTGTCTCAAGGAATGATTCCTTCGCTTCTTGGTGAAGCAGCTTTCTAGTTCTGAGCTGCACATGTCCACTTAGCGAGAAAACGCTGCTGGTCATCAGCCATGGCATAAGCATGAGCCTCAGAATTAAAAGCTCTAAGCTCCAAGATCCTGGTTCTCGGCTCTCTCTCTCCCTCTCTCTCCTTCTTCTTCTTCTCCTTCATCTTCTTCTTCTATGCACTATGCGTGTCCTGGTCGTCGAACAAAGGTCACGCTGGGCTACGCCCCCAAGCGCGATTTCCCTGTCCGACTGTACATTCCGAATGCAAAAGCTGTGAGAAGGACACTGTGTGCACACCACAAGCCCCTCCCCTCTTCTTTTTGTCACACCTCCGCTTCCTTCCTGTGTTGCCTGCGCCTGCCCCTTGTGTGGAACAGACAACGACTGGAAAATGACATAAGTCTCTCTTCTCTCTCTCGCTCGCCATCGCAGCAGCAGCAACAGCATCAGCAGCAGCAGCAGCAGCAGCGAAGATACTTGACAAAAGAAACCTCCATGACCCTCAGCTAGTCTCAGACATTCCCAACTGACAACCTAATTACCCCCGGTTCATCACACGAATTATGGTTACTTACTTACTTACCTACTTACTTATTTACTTACTGGGCACGGCTCAAATGGTCTCCTTTTACGCTGTGAAGAACCGACTGCGTGCCCTCAGCCCGAATTCCCCGCGAACTCTGAGACATGCGCGGCCTTCTTCTTGGGCTTGGGCTTGTGGGCCTGCAAGCGGCTTCCAGCAGGGCCAAAGTACCAAAAGTATTCAGGCACTTGAGATTTTAGGTAATGGTTCTTATACTGTCTATGGTTATCAGGTGCTTGGACCCTGTGGGTATCCTAAACCCTAAACCATGTGCATCCTGAAGCCATGGGCATGGCTTTCTACAGTTTCCTGTAGTCTACCCTCCCCCCAAACAAGGGCCCCATGATGACCTCTGTCCTTTTGCCACGGGGATTTCTGGGTTTTGTACCTGAGCTGCAGCCAATATCTCCCATATGATTAATGGACAGGGTGTTTAGGGTTTAGGGTTTAGGGTTTCAGGGACTGTACCAAAGTACCAAAGCAACCCCTCTGTCCATCCCTGATGCCCCCTTGACAAGCCCAATATTGACTGCAACTCATGTTAGCTTAGGGAAAGGTGAGAGTAAGAGCCAGCAACCCACGAAGACGAGGACTCCAGGTTCAGAGCTAAAATCTCTTCAGGGGCCCCCAAACATGTGTTTCTATTATATACTAACTGGCTAGTACTATTTCTCTTACTATTACCTATTACCCTAAACCCTAAACCGTAAACCCTAAACCCTAAACCCTAACCCCTAAACCCTAGACTACGGCTATCCCTTTCATAGGTATTATGAGGATTGGGGATCCCAGAAGCCAGCGATCTGTAGGAGTAGCACCACCCAGGGAAGGCATCGAGTGTTCTTGAGGATCTTCAAGGCTCTTGGTTCAGCTTCTAGGAGGTACAGTAGGAGCATTGAACAAAAAACAACTCCCTGAATCGTGATGCGATTCCCTGCAGGATTTTTCCAGGGAAAGCTTGCATATTTCAAAGGGCATTAATCATTCTTGGACTTTCCATTCCCTGGCAAGTCTTTGGTGTTTCCCTACGAAGCCCCTGCTAATTTAGAAGCCCTTGTAGTAGTGGGCACTTCAGCCCTAAGGTAGATAGAGGGTCTGAGCAGTTCGAATTTGGGTCGAGCGTGGTGCCTCGCCGGATTAAGTATGGTTCAAACACACATACTCTACTCCTGGCACCTATTACCCAAGATTGTATCTCCTCCACATTTCAATTACCCCTGTGCATGTCATACTACGTATTGGTGTTCTATTGGGTAGAGCGAGCGGGCTTGGGGCTCAGAATACCTGACAAGCCCAGGCGAGTACTGGAGAAATTGGCTTACTAATGTTCAAGCGCCATTCCAACCGCACTTCAGCACCAATACTTTAACTTGCTTTGAAAGGTAGGCTTCAGTGTCTGCATAACCTCCCCCACGCCAAACTCAGAGAAAGATATAAGAGGATTTTCAACATTCAACTTGAAACTGTAATCTTTCCACCTAGCTGGTGGTTTCCATCAATAACGGGCCCTAACGTAGAATGTGGAAACACTTTACGCCTTGCTATGAGAGGAACCCCAAAACGCCCTGGACCCTAAAGCGGCTCAAGCACTCCAAGGGACCTGCAGCCCCACTAACTGGACTTATGTAACATAATCTGTATTATAGGGATCCCTCCCAACAAAACAAATCTGGGAAACAACCGTATATGTTTTCCCAATTCTAACTTGGTTTCTAATTCCGTTTGTAAGAGTCCCATCATGTCCCATCAACCTTCAAGGAAACTATATGCAGCCCAAACCCTGGACCCGAAAACCTGGCTCAAGTCCCACGGCCTCAGGAGGCTTGGCCACATGCTCCGGCTTGATGGTGGAGGCATCCACGACCTGAAGTTTTCTTGACTGGATCCCCAGGACAAAAAGAGGCCACCTTCAAAATCCAGTCCAAATTACCTACTGAATTTGGGGTGAGTGAGGGAGAGAATACGGACACTGCTTAGGCGGAGGGTTTTAAGCACCAGTGAGCAGAACTAGCAGGTCATATAGCAATGTCTGCTGTAAGATGTTGATTTTCGAGGGCAAACTGAAGCACGCACAACTTCACGAGGGGGCCTTAGGTATGGCCATGTTGAAGACATTTCAGATGATCCTACTAAGATCACCCCTTGCCTTACAGTGCATAAGCTGGAGTGGTGGGTGCAGCTGGCTTTAGTGGATCCTATAGAAATAACCATAGTAGTATCTACGTTCCCTCAGCCACTCGCCCTTATATAAGCACTTAACTTGGAACCAATGCTCCGTACCCTTGTGAGGCTCTCACGCCCATGGTCAGCGAGGGTTTGAGAAGCTTGTCCATGATGTCCTCCGAGTTGTGAGATCGGGGTAATTACTTAGAAGTTCTTCTGTACTTCATTAACATGGCCATTGGCAGCTCATGCAAGGTAATTAACAGAATCACCTTGCTCACAACCTCATGGTGGGTATAACTACCCCTGAACGTTCAAATAGTGTTCATGACGCCCCTAAGTTTGTGACGGAACAATGTCAAAGCCCTAAAATCTGTCAACTTTGCGAGGGCGAGTCTGATAACTGAGCTCTCGTTGCAACTATCTGGAATAGACGTGGGATTGTGGCTGGTGCGGTATTCCACTAAGCACATGCATATGGAGTTTCCATGATTGGCAGGGGGCAACTACAATATACTATTATCACTCCTACGTTGCACATCCACGCGAAGGAAGCACGGGCGGAGTTGGAATTTGGGCAAAAGTGCAGGGCAGCCCCCGTAGTGCTATTTTGGAACAGAGGAGCCTTGTAATCGAAGTGCTATTGATCTTAGTGGACACATGACGTATGCATGACGTTTGAGGATACGACTGAATTGTCATGAGGTTCCGCACTCTGTCTCATCCGTTTCTGCTTCGGTATTATAGCACTATCCTCATTTGAAAAAGTAGCTCCACTAAGTCCGTACACATCCTTCAAACTCAAATCCTTGAACCGTAGCCCTCCATGCCCTCACACCTAGAAAGCCGTACGGGTCCTGAACCATAACACAGCCCTGCTCGGAAGGTCGTGAGACTGGCCTACACAATCATACAAGAAATCCAGATGCATTAGGCATTTTAGCTTCCCTTTAGTCCCTAGCATTATATAGCCTGCCTCAGCTACAGAGAATCAAAGATTGAGCTACCTGAAACACCAAGCCAAGAATCGCTACGCATGCTGGTTCGGAATGTGGAACTGCATCCATGGCAAAGACCGTGTAAGCCCCGAGACCACTGCCCAGTTACATGGGAGCGAATATTGGGCCAAACTAAACCCCAAGCCAAGAGTCTCTACTCGTGCTTGTTGGGAATGGGAATTTGATCCTTTCTAACGGTCCCTGTTCAATTTCGGGACCTGTGAACCCTCAACCCTAAACGCCGAGATCCTGGACCCTAAGCCCACAAGGAACAGCTTTAAAGTAAAGGTCCAAGTGCTCCAAGTGCCCAAACAGCAGGGTTCTAGGTAGCCAAACTTCATGAGAATGTAGTACTTGGAACTTACAAGCTTATCCCTAAACGACTCCCTAAAGGACCCCAAAACTGGAACCTCTCAATAACCCGATGTTTCCCCAATGTAGTAGTAGGCGCTTTTTTTAGGGGAGCTCCATGTTGTGGATCCTTTAGTGGGCTGTCGCTGTATGGCAGGGTCCTTTGGGTGGATAGGATCGAAGATGGCCGTCGCATCCTTGGCGTAAGTTCAAGCTTTCTGGCGCCTTGATGGGGTATAGCTTATATGTATCTTGAGGATTAGGGGCTGTGAGCTTAAGGTGTAGATACGGTTTAGGATCTGGGGTTTGGGCTT